TTATTTCGTCATCATTTTTTATTGCTTATTGATTAATTTATTATCTTTTTTTTTGTCATTAGTTGACCATTGATCTATCGCTAAATTAAAGAAAATTATTTTTTAATAAATTTCATTAATATCTATTTAATGTTTCACCATAGTAGCAAAGAGCCAAAATTAAAATTATAACATGAAATATTATTAAGTAAAATAAAAATAATATAAAATAAATCAAATATTTATATAACTATCTTTCGGTGTATGAATTTATTAAAAAGATTAAAAAAAAACCTAGTCCTCCTCATCATCAATATTTGTTGCATCATCTTTCGAATGCCGGGTATCGAGAGGAAAGATTGACTCCGGGTAGAGGAAAGGTTAGTAGGAGAGGTGCGAGTTTATATGTCATGTAACGACCATCGCATCCTCTCGCATCTCCCGTTAAAGAACCCGGTATTCTGTTTGGTGTTTGTCTTCCACCTCTTAGATCCGTCGAGCACAATCACGTTCTATATCCTTTAGCCTCTATTAGTACGACTCATTATCCCGCTATAGATGACTAGGGAACAACGATGTGACGAGAGGATGAGTTGGCGTCAAAATGAGAGTAATATTAGGACGTTTATGATCTAAGGTTGTACACTCTATGCTTCTTTTCCCTTTTAGCGAGTCTTGAGATATATCTAGATTATGTCGATGTCCGGTGACAATAAATCACCCTTTGATTGTTGGCTAGCAGTGACTCATATAATAAGTCTACATGCACCTACGTAATTAAAAAAATTATAATATGAAATCATAAATTTAATTTTTAGATTAAATTGCCATATGTATAATTAAAAAAATAAAAAACTCACTTGAATTGTCTAGGACCGCATATCAATAAATGACCTTTCTCGATGCTTATGAGTCCCCATGAATAACTCCGTAAGGATTTGAGTTATGGCCTAACTCCTTAGTCCGAAAAAAGTAAACATAAATAATATGAGACGTAATAAAATAAACATCTAAAATACACAATACATGCAAATATTTTCAATTAATTACCATCTTACAAACATCAAACAAAAGTCATAATCAAGCAATCAAATAAATCAATTTGTGCACACCGAGATTGACACTTGCCTCGGATAATTCTTTTAAATTAAAACTTAATCTATGTCATTCTAGCTTCATTGCAGAACACTAACACCACTTTATTTCTTCTCAATTCTTGGAGGTCTTCAACTCTTCGACTTTGATATGTTATGATGTATCTAGGCATACTTCAATAACTATTAGTAAAATAAATTCAATATCGGTTGTCATAATTAACTTGCAATATATTCTATGACATAAATTATAAATTATGGTTTTGATAACTTACCTTGCAAAGTATGAGTGGCTAAAAAATTACTAGAGTGGTTGGAGTGATTGCTAGCATGCATTACTACCGACTAGTTGGAACAAATTTATATATGAATAATTAATATCACAATTCATGTAACAACTAATTATTTATTCTTATCAAACAAATTTGACCAAAAATTAATTTATCAATTTTTAAATCCTAAGTTCAAATAATGTTATATTATGTCAATTTTAAAATTAATGTGTTATTTTAAATCCAATAAATTAACTATCAAATAAAAAATATGCTCAATTAAGTTTCAAATAACATAAATTTGAGTTTTTAAATATATTTAATAATAACTAATTATATATGTATCAAAAAATAAAAAAAATCAAGAGATACAAAAAACCCACACAAATTAAATGTAAAATATGGATTAGGAGAGAGAGAGAGAGAGAGACGAGATGAGACCTTTTTGAGGGAGGAGATCACGACTGTTTTGGGAGAGGAGACAGTTGGAGTGGCTAGAGAATATTAGAGAGTGAAGGAGAAGGATTTGTAAGGTATTTTAAGGGGTGTTGTAGGTGGCATCACTTAGAGAAGGTTGCGGGGAAAGGTTAAAAAGGAGAAGAAACAACAAAATAGAGAAGAAGAAAAGATTCTACCAATTTAAGGATTCAACTTTAGTAATGGATGCTACTCGGTCGTTATTTCATCGCTAACATAAGTGTTCATCGCTTATTTGACATTTAAAAACTAGCTCAATCAACGACTCGTCATGTTTCGTCGTTAAGTTATTAATTTTGTTGCAAATTAGTGACAAAAATAAATGTCTTGTTGCTGATTTTAAATTTCAAAGAATTGTTTTTTTCCCTATATCATCAATTGACATGTTCCGTCATTGATATTAGACTTTTGAGCGACACACATGATCCATCACGGACTTGCTACAAATTAAAGGACTTAGCCATGGAATATTTTCTCGCTAATAAGTCAAAAAAGGCTCCAACATTAGTGACGAAAATCATAATTTGTCACTAATTACAATTGCAATCCAGCTTGGAAATTTATCAATAAAAAAGCTGCAAAAAACTTGCTACATTATTTAGCGATGGAAGGGTTCCGTCGTTGATTTTCCATCACAAATGGTCGGTATTTCATCGCTAACAACCCCAAATCGTTGACAATTGTTATTCATTTGCAAATCGGTTGCTATATAGTTATAACATGTTGTTCGTTGCTTTTTTCGTAGCTAAATTGCATTTTTTTTTTTAATGATAAGCCAAGAACCTTATGCATGCCTATTGGCTATTTTATTTTCTATGTTGTCGTCCGATGTGATTTGTGACTTTTACATGTTAATTTTATTATGTCTTATACTTTATGTGTTTATTTTATGTGATGCCAGTCTAGGTCGGTTTAGATGATTAGACAATTGTTGATTTCATTGCAAATCGGTGACAAAAATAAATGTCCGTTGCTAATTTTAAATTTCAAAGCACCATTTTTTCCCTATATCGATCGATCGCCATGTTCCGTCGTTGATATTGGACCTTTGAGCAACAAACATGATCCATCACGGACTTGTTATAAATTAAAGGACTTAGCCATGGAATATTTTGTCGCTAATAAGTCAAAAAAAGGTTGTAACATCAATGACGAAAATCATGATCTCGTCACTAATTGCAATTCAATTGGTAATTGGTCGCTAAAAGAGTCGTAAAAAACTTATTGCATTATTTAGCGAAGGAAGGGTTTCGTCTTTGATTTTTCATCACAAATGGTCGATATTCCGTCGCTAACAACCCCAAATCGTTGACAATTGTTATTCATTTACAAATCTGTCGCTATATAGCGATAACATGTTGTCCATTGCTATTTTTGTCACTAAATTGCATTTTTTTGTAGTGATAGGCCAAGAATCTTGTGCAAGCCTATTGGTTATTTTATTTTCTATGGTGTCGTCCGATGTGATTTATGGCTTTTACATGTTAGTTTTATTATGTCTTGCAATTTATGTGTTTATTTTATATGATACCAAGCTATATCGGTTTAGATAGAGTAGGTTTAGGATCCGAGATCGACTTTGTTCTAATGATAAGTATTTTCTTATTATTGTTATTTTTTATTTGGTTTAATGTTAATTTAATTTTATCTTCTTAGTATTACTAATTTTGTTATCTTGTAGATTTGTCTTTAAAAGAAACGTTGGATATCAAGTCTAATCTTAGTATTTTATAAGTGGCATAGTAGGTGGATATGAGTTTGAAGCCCATCTCCTTATTCTTGGATTTTCTTTTTTAATTTTAGAATTGTAATTTTTATTTCATAGTTTGGTAGATGAATTTGAGCTTATGGTCCATGTTTGTTCTATTTTATTTTTTATCCATCTTTGTATGAGATTTGGGGTTGTTCTATTGGCAATAAGCTTTGGTCCAACTTTTACCTTCTCAAGTGAGCTCCAACGACTTGCTTGGACTTTGAGCATTCACCTACTTACTGCCTACTTGTTCGGACTTCGACCATCCACTACTTACTACCTGCTTGCCACTCCACCTGGTGCCTTACTAGCATTTTATGTCCTTCATTCCACACCACTAACTATTCTATTTGCTTTTATTCTACTTCATTGGTGATTATTATTTCTGCAAATCAGAATATTAGCTCTGGACACTTTGGCTTGTTTGTTGATCCGTTCTTAAGAACCCCGAAACGTAACTAAATCCAGCAGGATGTTGATGGGGAGAATTTTGCATCCAAATTCAATGGCTAGCTTGTAGCCATAATGCTTCAATTCTCTCTGATAAGCAATAATTAAATTGCTATATCTACCTATATCTGAAAATAGTGTATTTTGGATTCATGTTCTGGAAAATACTGGTCTACTTATAAAAATTTCAATATATTACGTCTATGAATAGCGAATACTGTACGTGATTAGTCCACGGTGTTCCCTTTATGAGCTTTTACCCCCTAAATGGCATATTGAAGCAGGAAGCCAAATCACCATGTTTTGATAGTTCTTGTCATTCTTATTCTTCCTAAAGAGATGCAATCAACGGAATGGTTAGACATGGTATCATCGATTCACCGGTCTTTTGGGTTTCTTACAAGTGATTAGCCAAGTAAGAGTACGGAATAAAGCAATGATACGGTTTCCAAGTGAATAAAGCTTAGCTTGTTGGTTGTCAGCAATAAAAATAATGCATGATTATTACACAAGTTCAATTTGCAATGCTACTTGGTTGCATTTTCCCATGAGCTTAACTGTCAAGGTTCTCTTGTTCTATATCATCAAAAAATGGACAATTGATGGTTGGTCTTATTCTTTTTTCTCGCTACTCTTGCCATCGCTGTTGATACAGTTCCTTAGATCACCAGCCATATAATGAACACCACAGTTTTTGTGCTGCCCGGGTGGCTTAATATTTATCGATGAATTTGGTGATGATCCCTTCATCCTCCATGTCTACAAGGCAGCCTGTCAAGTCTTTATGGACAGGATCCTGGCTTAGAATGAAAAATTGATGCCCTTCATAAATGTTTTTGCTTTCCCCAATCACAATGTGAGACTCCTGTTGACCAGTTAAATTTTGATGTGTCTCCAAAACCATTTTCACGGTGCATCAAAACATAATAAAATGATTTTAGTTTCATATTGGTTAAAAGATGCCAAAAGGAGCCTTCACCAGTAATCAAGACAAGAACACGAGCCATCCTTGAAGTGGTGGAAGCGAAGCTTGTCACGAACAATAAGTTCTCTATTGGAGACAACTGAAATATATTTAATGGCCAAATGACAATCTTCACACATTCGGAGGTTCTTCACAATCCTGATAGGAGTCCCATGGCTGGTTTTCAATAACCCAAATGCAATCGCTAGCTTCTCACTATGGTATCTAAGTGCATATTCTCTCTCCTCCTCTTCCAATTCATGCATCACTGAATCAGATATTGTCACATAACCTGCTTCCCTACATTTCCACATCAAATCATCTAGATAATGATAAATTTCATTTGTCTCAGTGTGAGACTTGTCCCCCGTGCTAAACAAATAAGTCTTTTGATCCACTTCTATTGTACTATAACCAACATGTTTCTTTAAGCGTTTTCGAATCATATTGTCTCTAACCACTTCCACTTGGTCCATTCTACCTGCCAAAGCATATATATTTGAGAGTATCACATAATGAGCTGGATTTTCCGGTTCGGCAGCCAAGAGATGCTCAGCAACTTGTGCTCCAAGGTCAAAATTCTTATGCATCTTGCAAGCTCCAAGCATCGCTGTCCAAATAGCAGGTGCTGGCTCTTCAGGAATTTCTTCTTTGATAAAATTGTATGCTTCATCGAGAAGTCCAGCACGACCAAGCATATCCACCAAGCAAACATGATGCTCCACTCCAGGCACCAAGTGATACTCTTCTCTCATGCTTGCAAACACCCAGCGCCCTTCATTCACTAACCCCGCATGAGCACATGCTGACAAAACAGCAACAAATGTAATACTATTAGGAAATAATCCATTTCTTCTCATTTCATGAAACAACTCAACAGCTTGGCTACCATAACCATTTGTTCCATACCCAGAAATCATCACCGTCCAAGCTACTACATTCCTTTCCTTCATCAAATCAAAAACCTCTCTGGCTTTACTCACATTCCCACACCTTGTGTACATATTAATCAACGAAGTACCAAGCACCACATTCAAATCCAAACCATTCCTAACAATATACTCATGCACCCAACACCCTAAACTAAATGCACCCAAATGAGCACAAGCGGATAAAACACTCACAAACGTGGCGGAATCCGGTTCGACACTCATTTCCTTCATTCGATCAAACAACCAAATTGCCTCTTTAGCATACCCATTTTGCTCATACCCAGAAATCATTGAATTCCACGCCACAATACTTCTGTCACGCATTTTATCAAACAACTTCCTCGCATTACCCAAGTCACCACATTTTCCATAAAAAGCCACCAAAGCCGCTTGAACATACACATCCAACCCAAACCCATTAACCAAAACATGTCCATGAACAATCCTCCCATGTTTAAGAGCCAATAAATCAGCACAAGATTTAATCACACTCGTAAAAGTATAATTCGAAGCTGGAACATTAGAAAGGACCATGAGGCTATAGAAGTAAAGGGAATAAACTGAGAAGTCGTGGAATTTGGACGTGGATTTGATAAGGGAATTGAAGAGGAAAGAATCTGGATTTGGGACAATGAGAAAGATTTGGCGCGTGTAGCTAATCGAGCCAGCAGCGCAAGCTAAATTGAGAAGCTTAGTAAGAAGGGATCGGCTGCGACCGTATCCTGAGGCTATTATATGGGCGTGGACTTGGTGGAGAAGTTTGAGACGTGATCCTGCTAGGAGAAGGAGATTGTAGGCTGAAGAATGTGGAAGTCTGTGGGGTTGTTTGGTCTCCATGAAAGTTCGCCATGAATCTGCTAGTGTGCTGCTTATATGCAATTTTGGCGGGTGAGGAGGGAAAAAAACATGTATTATTAGCAAAATTTAAAAATAATAAAAAGAAAATGTTTCATTAAAACAATGGTTTCTTGATATAATGGCAAGCATACAGCTGCAATAAAATTATTCTTACATTATTATTGTATATTTTAGTTCAAGACATTACTAGAAAGAATAAAGGCTCAAAAAATTACTTTAAATTAACATTAGAAGAATAAAAAATTTAAATTGTACAAAAAATTGATAAATATTAGTAACTTTTTAAATATAGCATAAGCAGTACCAAAGATTTGTTGTTAACTTAACTTTTCACCTTTTTCCCCGTTGAATTAAAATTTATTTTTACTTTCAAATAAAAAAATTTTAATAGTTCAAACATCTTTTGAACTTTAAGTCATTTAAAAATTATTTTTTAACTTTTAATTTTGAATTAAACCTTCTTCTAATTTTTTTATTTAAAATTGAATTTTTTGTTAGGTTTTTATCAATTCTAATGATGAAAATATACATGGCTTGTACATAATTAAAATTTTAATTTTTCAAATAGTTAAAAATATGACAAAATTTATGAATGCTTTACTTTTAAAAAAAAATTATTTTTTCTAAAATATTTTTTACTTGACTGCTTACTAACATTTAGGAGAGAATAAATAAGTTTTGAAAGAAAACGTAACGCATACATAAGTTTTGGCATTTTTTTAATTGCTGAAAAATTACACTTATATATTAAAATTGATAATACCTAATAGAATATTTCAATTTTAAATGAAAAATTATTTTTTAAAAAATCAGCTTTAAATTAGATTTTCAAATAACTTAAAATTAAAAAAAAAATTGAAATGCTTGCTCCAAAAAAAAAAAGAACATACATTTTGAGATGAAGTTTAATTATCCAAACAATTTTGTAGCTCACCTGTATCAATGTATTAGTGATCCATTGATAAAATATTCAATAAATAGTATCATCTACAAGTAACATTATTAATATTTGAACTTTCGTTTTTTACATTTACACAATTATCTATCAGTATTAAAAATCCCGTAGCAATACAAAGGTTTTACGATTGTAAATAAAAATTAGATACAAATTATAGCAAAGTGACTAAGTGTACATAATTACATCTAAATTGTGCAAATTGATGCTTAGTTTTGTGATGGATTTTATCCATACCTAGAACATTTTTATTCTTCAAATTATTTTAAGTGAAACTTTATATTTACTTTTGATCGAGAAATTATTTACTTTTTATTATGTATTTTTTGAAACTTTAAATCATAACATTGTTAATTATGAGCTGATGTGATATTAACATGATATTATTTGTTATTATAAAACTCATTTTGTGCTCAATTTTTAAAATAAACTAACGAGCTGGCTTCTACAACAAATTTCTTGTAGGAGAAAAAGGTAGTACTCTTTAGATATTTTTTGTACCAAAAATCACCAATTGTGCATTTTTTATCCACACATTAATTTGTTTACTTGTTACCTAAAGTTTTTTTTCTCTAGTAAATTATTATCAAATTTCTGAAATTAAGGGTACTATACATTTTTTTAAAGAATTTAATGAAAAAATTGTCAAAAAATGAATTGCATTTGTAAGGGAATGCATTATAGAATTATCTATAATGCATTCCCTTACAAATGCAATTCATTTTTTTGATAAGTTTTTAGAATTTTTTTCATTAAATTTCAAAAAAAAAAAAAGAGTGAGAGAGAGATTATGTTCCGCCTTGCTTAGGACGAGCTTGTATTGTCTCATGGGACAAACATGCTTCCCAAACAATCTTTACTCATTTTCCTTAAATTCAAAAATATCTTTCACTTTATTGGACTTCGGACCTTTTCATATATCTTATTTGTGAAAAATAAATCAAATTACTCATTAAAAAAATACACATTTATTTATTAATGAGAATAATAAAAAATATTTAAATAATTTATTTTCAATAAAAGAAATTAATTACTTGGAAAATAATAAAAATAATACTACATCAAATATTTTATAAATAACATATTTAAATTTATAACTTTAAAATAGATAAAATAAAATAAGAATTTTATTTATTAAAGTAATCAAATATATTAATAAATAAAATAAACCAATTACTATTTAAATATAGTAATAAATAAAATAACTATTTAAAATATGATGAAATCAGTTGTTTTTAGTATATAATTGAATATAAAGTAGAAAAAAATAATAAAATAACATAGTATAAAAAGATTTTTTTAAACATAAATTAATTAAATTTCTTTATTAATTCATATTAAAATAATAAATTACTTAATTCTATACTTAGAAACAATTAAAACAAAATTATAATATCATTTTTATATTATTTACATGAGACAATATAAGGGTATTGTTGTCTTTATAGCATACTATTTTGTTTCGTTCCATACTTGCCAAATTACAAAAATAAAAATAAAACAACTGAATAGTTTACTATTCATTTACTGTAGGGCAACACCCATTGTCATTCTGGACCAAGACTCAAGTGGATCGTGTTTTTCTTTTTACTTGCCTCTTTGCCATCTGATTATGCTTCTTTTTGTGTTGTTGTTTGCTTTGTTAGATCGGATCCATTACTTGGCCATGCGTTTTCTTTTAATATTGGCATGTGCTATTAAATTTGTATGTCTTTCTTTCAATATTGCAAGTTGTGTATTTGCCATCTTTTTTTTGTCATATTTTCTATTTTACCATTCTTTAATTTTGAGCTGTTACTTATGTGTGGAGTTTTAATTATCAAATCAGATTTTATTTATAAAGAGAGAATGATGTAATCTGCTCAATCAATAAATGATTGCCACTGCAACTTTATCTTGAAAAGGAGATAAGATGTAATCTACTCAATCAATAAATAATTGTCACATGTGTAGTCTTATCTTCAAAACCTATCACTATCCTCGCATCCACTAATCCAGTCCCCACTCACTCCTCTCTTCAACAAAATAATATTGTCATTTCTGTTTCTCTCTCTTCTTGCTTTAATCCAAAGAGAATAAAACTATTATCAAATAGAGACTTTTATATCTTGATCATCATACAAATTTTTTCATAGAGAATTATTGAACCATCAGGCAGAACATCATCTTCGACAACTTCTTTCACTTCAGTTGGTACAGATGGATACAGCCTCAGGGATTCGGGTAATGCTGCTTGGAGATACATCATCTTGTTCAATTCTTCCATTGTGAAAATGATGCCATTTTTGGTCTGTGTCTCGCGAAGGGACAGATTGTCATTGATCTCCCATAGAATTCTGTTTTCTTTTTCTGGATTCCTGTGTACTAACCAGAAAAACCATGCCAATGCCACCGAAGTGGTGTCGCGCCCTGCTAGGATAAAATTTACACACAAATCTCGGAAATACTTATCTGGGAATTGCACCTTCTTGCCTTGTCCACTCTCAATAAGCCTGGACAAGAGATCAGATTGATCACACAACCTACCATGCTTGCTTATCTCATCCCTTCTACCGTTCACTGTCTTCTCAGCGAAGTCATGTACAATGCCAACTGCCTCCTTCAATGCCTTCTCATATCCTATTCCAAAGAACCTCATGGGCTTCCAAATGAAAGGCGGAATCAGGAACCTGAACAAAGTTAATTCTGTTGCCTTTTCAAAAGCTTTTGCGAAGGGAACGTCAGGAAAATCCAGGGCTAAGCACCCAGGATTAACGCCAAAAGCTGCAGTGCAAATGTTATCAAACGTAAACCGAAGAAGCACGTCTTGGAGATCAAAACTATCTCCTGACTCCACCAGTTTTTCTGTCAGCTTCAACAGCTTCTGGTGCACCAGATCTTGCATTGTTTGAAGCGAGTGCTCAATGAAACGGCTTGAATGCATCTCTGCTTTCACTGTTTGCCTTTGTTCTCTCCACAATTCATCGTCAGCATTGAAAATACCATCCCCTAGCAAATCCCGAAACCTCTCTCGGAAGTATGTTCCTTTGGGGAAGTTCTTGAAAACAATTATGAAGGAAAATAGTCGGTACCTATTGTGGTTGTAAACAACGTCTATAGCAGAGTATGTATGTTTTTATTGAGTGTGTTTTCAATATTTTTCTTCCCTATTGTTGTTATTATTGTTTTGCTCTTTATCATTTGCATATGGATTTGATGCTTCTTTTCGATTAGGTATCGAGCTTTTATTAATTGGAATTCTTGAAAATTATATTTTTTGCTCAATTAGGTTTATTGATTTATTGAGAATGTTTGTTATGTTGTTTTTTCTTTTTGTGTCATTGATGAGTCTTAATTTCGTTTATTATCTTTTATTGATCTATTATTAATTCTGGTTATTGTTATTTTGATTGTTGTATCATCATGTCATCCTCCCAAGTTTGTGTCCTCTTTTTTGTTAACTTTGTTTTCTTTTAACATTGTATTATTTATTTATTTCTGAACTTTTTTTCTTATATATTTGTATGTGTGTGAATGATGACTATGGCTATGTTTCAACTTCTTTGTTCAATTTACATCTATTGAAAAGCTACTTTAAATGAGGTGGGGAAGTACTGTATTGTGCTTTGTAAGTTTTTTTGCTCTTAATTTTTTTTTTTGAACTTTATTAGTTTCATGTTGTTGATGACTAATTATCATTTGTTGGTTTTGTTTGTCTTTTTCTATACCAAAAAAAAAAAAAAATGAAAATCCACTTAATTTGATTGTGGTGGTGAGATTAGTTCTTATTGTGATGAGATTTTTTCTGTTAATTTGATAATTAATTGATTTAGATATGGAGGAGTTATATTTGGTTTAGACAGATGATGGTTATGATTTAGGTCTTCAATGATGTAGAAGTTTTTTCAATTTGTAACTTTTCTTTTTATCTCCTCCTTTTGCTCCATTTTGCTTTCTTATGGTTGTTTTTTTTTTTTTTTTTGAATTTTGAATTTTGCATGCATTATTATTGTTTTAGGCTTTTAAGAAGATAGAGGAAGGCCTCTAATTAATGGCCTTGAGAGAATGAAGGAATTCTACAGACTGTAGCCAAGCAAAAAAAAATTGATTTCACCTTTTTAATTACTTTTTTATGCATCTATTGCTTTACTTCGTCTGAATTCCTGATAACCCGCATCGTTGCAGTTTTGCTGAGAATAACTAGGATGATTTTTTTATAATAAATGTTGGTATTTTTAACTTCATCTGCTAGTTGTGGTTGCTTCTAATTATTATATTTTTTTTGCTTCGCTTTTGTGTTTACAACTAGGTAATTTTCTCTAATTGTCATCAATTGTTTCACCTTCATGAATGGATAGAGAGTGATGTAGTTTCAAATCAAATACTGCAATTTTTTATTTTTTTTTTGTGACTTGCCCAAAAATTAAAAATTGCTACATTGAAATGTCTCTTGAACTTCTAAATGCATGAAATTTAATGTGGTTGTGCTAACTCTAAATCTCAGGTTTTAAGTGAATTATTTCTGTTTCTTTCATTTTTTTCACAATTACCATGAGCTACATGCATGACTATGATTACGTTATTACGTTTGTTTGCTAAAACATGTGCTTGCAGTGTTTGGCAAATGAGTTGCTTTTTTTTTTTTTTTTTTAAATCTGAGATGACATTGCTTAATGCTTTCAAAAATGTCTTTCTAACATGTTATTTATAACGACTTCTGATTATATCATTTTTTTTTCTTTCTATTTGTATGAATTTTGCATAGTTTGTCCTTAATTCTCCTTAATTCTTAGTTTTATTTTTATAGAATTGGGGCATATATTTACCCTACTTGACTCTCATTCAAGTTAGTGACCGGTGCAATAGAGTGATTCCCATTCAAGTTAGTGATTGATGCACAAAATTAAAATCTTACTATTGCTTATACATATGCTAATAGTTTTGTAATAACGTACGTAAACAATGACACTTTAAATTCATATTTAAAGCTTTCATGCATTTCAAAAAATTTATGCACACAACTTTGATTTATAATAAATATTACATAGTTGTTGAATATATCTCAATATATTTAAGCATTCTATTTTTTATAATGCTTTTTATATTGTTTTTTTATGAGACTCTACCTGTAACGTAGTGCAGGCAACAAGCTAGTATAAAATAAAATAGTTGTTTTGCCTAGTTCAGTGCATGCTAAACAATAGATAAGATTTTTTCTATCTTGTCTTATCCATTATAGTCTCATCTCTTCAGTTCTATCAACGAATAAGCCTTAAAGTTTAGACCAACTTCATAATTATGCTTCTACATTAATTTTTTTTCCCACTCAATCTCTAATGGAAAAAATTTGAAGATCAATTCCAATCAAATCATTATTTCTTTGAAGAACCTATGAAAGAGTTTGAGCCCTTTAAACACTTGATTGTGAAGTGATAACTACAATTTAAAGCAAAAGATAACCAATATGATTTGATAGAAAGAAACAATAGAGGAGAGGCTAAAAGAGCATGAAACTTATTTTGAGTCAGAGGTTAGCAATGGAAGAAAACAAGAGGAGATTGCATAGCTTGAAAAAACATCAAAAGACCTTAAGTTAACCCAAGGATTAAGGGGGAAAAACTTTTAAAAAAGTACAAAATATAAAAAAGAATTAGAATTTAAGTCAATGAATAAGCAAATTGATGAAGAGTACTGCTATCGATCCATAATATATTTTCATCCTCAACATCAGATGTATGAAAGCCAAATCATTTTCACGATTGGCTATAACAATATTCATAATTAGAGAAATAATGCAGATTACAAGTTGAAATTAAATAAAACCCTACATATCATCGTAAATATCTCATCCCAACCTTAAAACAAGGATAATAAAATCAATATCGTCATTTTGAATGAGAATGCTCAAGTTATCTTTCACCACATTAGTTGCACAAAAATCCTATATTACAATGTTTGCATGTACCTTTTTGAATTTCAAAATCTTTTAAGCTACATATTTTACATATTTTATCGATTGTCTCTTTTTACAAAATCCAGGAGCAAAACTAAGAAAGAAAGACTAGCAGCATATATATCTAGAATTGGAACATGGATTATGCTATGAAACATAACTACGTAACCCATATTGTGCTTATAAATCTCATCCAACCCATGTATTATGCAACATCAACTTCTCTTAATGGTGTTATATATCCTATTCCGCCTTTAATTTCCATAACCACTTGTTTTTTATGCTTCAAATACGTACTAAGATAGAAAATACTTGTTTTGTGGAGAGGCTTCTACCATAATTTCAAATTTATCAATCACATGTATCCTGTCATCTATATATTGTGATTTGTGAACTCTTAATGTCTCACTATTTCTTTCAGAACATCACCTTTCGTGAATAATTTGATACTTCTCTCAGCATCTACGCATTCTTAATTGATTTTATTATCATATCCAAAGTAGTTTCAAGTAAACAAACAGTGGTAGCCTTAGCAATTGTCTAGCATGCAAAACGTTTTTTTATCCAAATAATCATGGCCTTCATTCTCTTTTAATGATTAAGTAAGAGGGGATACAAAGGCCAATAAAATTCCTTTGTAGATTGAAACTATTAAAGTGGCAACTATGATAACTGCCATTCACATTGCATAGATAGAAAAAAAAAATCTTTCATATTATAGATAAAACCTTTAATTCCGCTATTTTATTTCATCCTTCATTTAAAGTAGAAAGTTGGGAGCACTATAAAAAAGTGTAATTAGCAGCAACAATGAAAACTTGTTAAACATTCAATCTTGGCTTTTGACTTTAGCTTTCAAAGGTGTACGCTTATGAGAGTCATTACCATTTAAGCTTTACAGCTTCACCCAAACCTATGTTGATGTCAATCGCTGAGATAACCACTTGAAGATCTTTATAAGCTATATAGGCTTTGGAAGACAAAAATGGATTTGACTTAGCATTTATCTCCATAGAGTCAACAATTAATTCTATTGAATCTCGATTCATCTACTTTTATCGAGTTGACATGCAATAACAATCCACCGCTTAGAGTTTCACCTAAAGCTATATCTAATGATGTCAACTAAGATGACAATCATTTGAAAAATCTTTATAAACTACATTGTGGAAGTCAAATATGGATTTGACTTGGAATTTACCTCCACGGAGTCAACAATTCTATCGAGGCTCAATTTTTCTACTCTTATCGAATTGCCATCCAATGACAACTCATCAACAAGAAACTTTCTGCTTCCTTCAAATAGGCAACAATCCAAACAACAATTACTGAGTATTTTGTTATAGATTCTAATTTCTTATGATGCGGTGATCTCTGAACTGTTGTAAATACATATGGTTCGAAATATAAAGTCATTTCTTAATTTTCTTAAAGTGTTTACTAAAAAAAACCTAATAAATTTATTCATATAGTCTTGATTAAGGGAGTTGATTACATAAATAGAAAATCCTCATAATAATATTATTTTATATTTATAGCCTATGAAAATTTAATCTATTTTGTGTCCACTTGTTTATCCCCGTTTATGAGTGCGGTTATCATGCCTTTTCTAATTAGTCCTAAACAAAATGGTTAAAAGATTAAAAGAAGATTCAGCCTCTCACTTAAAATATCATTGAACCATTAAAACGTATTTGAAAGGATAAATGTTAGGATGAAGACATATTTACAAGTTTACATACACAAATTTATCTAAACAACATGTATGCTCTCCGATATATAGAACTTTCAAATTGACTAAGAAAAAGAATTAAGGGTTTTGAAGTCATCACCTAATATTGAAAAGAACTAAAAAACTTAAGAAGACACTAGATTCAGACTTTTTTTCAAGCAAATTATGTACAAAATAAAATAAAAAAGATACATATAGAACAAAATACTTGTGCGAGTTT